ACCACACTCTGGTTCCTCCCTGCGGGACTGCCCAGAGCAGCCACTCAAGGCCCACAGGGTGGGAGCTGTCCGCGGTCCTGGCTGGCGTCGACCCCAGTGCTTAAGACCCAGGGCAGCGTGAGTACCTGGGCTACACAGCCGGAGGACGCAGCGCCAGGGCTGGCTTCCACCAAGCATCCTGTGGCCCAGGTCTGAGAGCCAGCTCCCCCCTTCAGGTCCCCACTCAGTGCCACCAGCCTTCGAGAAATTAAAAGACTATTTTGACGTCTCCCTTCTTGTCCAAACCCCCGGCATTTATTACCCTCCCAGCATCCTTCCCCGACTCCGTAGCACCAAGTGAGGGGTGCCAAGGTGCAGGTGTTCGTTTCCAGTCCTCTTCCTGATCCCCGAAATTCCAGGGCAGACCGACTCGGGACTGGGTTAACACTGGCCGCTCTGGTCTGTGTGTTGAGAGGATGGGACTTGGAGTTCCCCGAATGGAAAGTGGATTTTGGAACAGTGCAGTTTGGATCCTTGGAATGTCTGTGGGTCCAGCTGGGCTGATTCTGGTTTGTGGAAGGGGCTCTTTTGGGACTGGAGTGCTCCTGAGCAAAGCAAAGGAGGTCACAGGTAGGAGTGGTGCGCAGACTGAAGGACTGGTCATTAAATCAGCCCTGTGTGGTGGACAGCAGTGTGCATGCTCCTTGGGGCAGTCACTTTCAATGGGTCTGGTTCTGGGTCCGGTTCTGCTGTGAGCACAAAGTAAGTGTTCAAATAAACACTGTAGAATCAAACTCAGGTGTTGCAGTACCCACTATACATAGTGGTGAGCTTGCTCTTGTTCCCCGAACACCTGATGGCAGGTTTGGGGGACTTTAGTGCTCTGGCTCCTGAATGAGCAGGGAATCCTCACCAGGGCCAGCACGCTTTCCCGTCACCCTCTTGGCATTCAGGGCCTGACTTCTGCTGTTCTATTTTTCAAAAATTGCTTTGTCCATTGGCCTCCTACCTAAGCTTCTTCTGGAGATAAAAAGGCTTGACCATCCTGCCAGACACTTTTATTATAAAACTGACTTCCACACCCCGGAGAGAAAAAAGCTATCCAGTCTTCACTTCCCAGGGTAACCCCCAAAATGTGAGAAGTGAAGTGAAGCTGTATTTCCTGGCATTGACTCCTCAGCAAAGGAGCTTGGAGAATGATCACTTGTAAAATTATCTCTGTTTATTTTCACCATTTCATAAAACTTACACAAAGCACTTTCAGTGGAAAGCAGCGTCTTTGCAGTACAAGGAGCAGTGAGGTTTTGGAGGCTCTGATCCAGGACAGAGAGGATAACAAAACTGCTCCAGGAGGAAGCATAAAATGCAAAATGATGTGGAAACATCAGGCATAAAGGTGAAGGAGCAAAGGGAAAATCTATCATACTTCACATGGGATTTCAAATTTCAATCTCCAAAGTTGTCTTTTTTAAAAATGCAGTTTTAGATTTAAGTGGATGCAAATTTCATGTATACGAAATGAAAAATAAACTCATATGCATACGTCCTGGGTACAGTATGTACCATATACATTAGTATATATACAGCCTGTACTGAAAGGTTTGCCCTCTGCTCTAGCCAACTAACACATTACTTAAACACTTTTGAAAGAGTTTTTAAAAAGAAAAAAGAAGGACATTTTTTCCAGGCTTTAAGTAAGATTTATCTCGTTAAGTAAGAGGAAATCTCACAACTCTTATCTCTTTGGAAAGAGGGGCCAGCTGGGCTCATGCCGCTGGTCCAAGAGAACCAGAACCATGGTCAGTTACTGTGGGAGCCTATTTGTCCTGTGTTGGAACCGTGAGCACTTGACACTGCTTGATGCTACTGGCACATGGCATTGTTGGGAAGCAGGCATCTTCCTCCTCTAGCAAATGGGGAGGCTCAAGAGATTCAGGGTCTGCCCATGTTGGTTCAGCTTCGTGGGAAAATTGGGAGCTAATCTGAGGCCTCTGGGGCAGAATACTGATACAGGCCACATCATTTAGCACATCGGGATGCAAGGCTCAAATAACAGCGTGGCTCTTGGTTATCACCTAACGTGACATCAGACATCGCTCCCGAGGAGGTAAGCACCACACTCTCCCGTTCTGTCTGTTCTTTATTCAGCAAAATGTGGAGTCTGCGGTGGGCGGGCCACACCGAGTCTAGTTTCTAGGTTGTCCTAACTCACCCCGTGCTGGTTTCTGCTGCTGCGTCCTGCCGCAGGAAAAGGCAGGCTTGACATATGGATTAGTGCCAGGGCACTTGTCTCCCATGTGCGAGATCCTGATTTCTACCCCCAGCACTGCAAAGGCAACTCGGTTTAGAAGGTGTGGGCTTGGGGGAGCGCTGTCCGCGGTGCTGAGCGTCACCCTCTGATAGGCACAGTTTGCTTGCCTGTCCCATTCACCCAGCCTCAAATGCCTCATCTTTGGAGACACTTTATAGTCATAAAAACCTGTATTCTTCATCCCAGAAATTAACTGCACTTGCGCTGAAAGATCTGTTCTTTTATTCTTTTTTGTTTTTCAAGAGTGACTTTGCAAACACCTCCTGCCTCCCTAGATTTCCCAAGGACTTTCCTGGGAATGGAAAATTTGGGAAAGGCTGTGCTCCTTCCTTCATTCTAAATTTGGTTTATTTTGTTAGAAAGTGGAGCTCTTCCAGTGTAAGGGATCGAGAGCTGGCAGCCAGGAGGACTGCAGTGTCTGAGCGCTGCTCCTGCCCACAAGTCTTAAGCCAGCGGTCACCCTTTCCAAGCAGGGCAATGGCTCCACAAATTTCTGCTACTGGAGGTGCTGCTGCCTGGAGACTCTTGGGAACAGATTCCACGTGTGTTTGCCCCAGTACCCAGAGGTCTGGGGGCACAGGGAAAGGCCAGCAGATCTGCGTCTTCACCAGTGGAGTCACCACTGAGCCTTTTCTTGTAGTTCCCAAGAGGCCAAGGAAATGCAGGTCACAGAGACAGATTTTCTCAAAGAAAGCCAAGAACCACACGTTAGCAAAGAGAGAAGAGAGGGGGAAGCTCAAAGACACAACAGAGCATGCATTTCTGATTCTTCCTTTCTAAATGCAAACTTCAGACCCGACACCACCTTCTCATTTGCAAGATAATTGAAGAAAAGCACACGTTCCAGTTATCATGTCTTTGAGACAGAAATAAAGTGACCTCATAGAGCACTAAGTCTATTTCTTGTTTATTGGATATTCCTTAATTTATTTCTTCTGGAAAGAATAAACTATTGTATCCAAAGTGCATTCCAATTTTAGTCACCTCCACAAAGGATGCTGACACACGGCCTTTTGCAGGGCATCACCCACTTCCAGAGAATGAGCTAAGGAGAAATAAAGACTGCAGTTCCTGCTAACCCCTAGTGTCTTTATTCATACAGCCCAACTGGAAAATAAACAGACAACATACTCCTCTGGTAATATTTTCTCTTCTTGGAAACTCAAGAAATTCACTTCTCAGAGAAGCACATTTTTAAAGTTTTAACTGACAAAGAAAATGCACATACATTCGTGTGGTGCAGGGTGGCAGGTTGACGCAGGCACGCTTTGTGCAATAATTAAATCAAGCTAATTAGCATATCTGTCACCTCATAGTTATTCCTTTTGCGGTGATAACATTAAAATCGATTCAGCAATTTTCAAGTATACAATCTATGATTGTTTATAGTCATTCATGATGCTGTACAAGGAATCTCCAGATTTACTTCTGTTTATCTTTCATTCAGTATGTAATTTTTTCTATGAAAATTACTTAATTCTAAACTTTAACATCAAAACCATTATAATATCTTCACTAGGACTAAAAAATCGTGACTCAATATTAAATTTAAAGTGCTCTCTAATATCGAAGCTTCAGAGCTAATAACTAACTTCTAATGTGAAGAAAGGGGTTTACTGAGTCCCTCTATAGAACGCTAGATGTTTAAGGAAAACCAGTGAGAGAAGGCCAGGTCTGCTTGTAAAATCACTGAGGTCTACAAAGGCATCAGTAAATAGGCGAGGATATGGAAATCCCAGCTTCAAAACAAGGAAACCTCAGATGCATTCAGGCTGAATTCCTTCCTTCCAGTGGGCAAACTTAGGCAGGTATTTTCCCCTCTAGCAGCCAGTTAATTACAGCTACCTGAAGGTATGCTGAGACATATTTTAAGGCCAATAAAGACTTTGGTTTCCATAGTTCAATTCTCTCATTATTAGAATGAAACCAAGATCCAATGAAAGGAAGTGTCTTATCCCAGGTTACTTCATTGTTAAGGGGCAGACTGATCATCAAACTCACATTTTTCTCAATGTGCCAAATAAATTTGGCTGTGAACTTTTTTTTAAAAGAACAATCTGGGGTACTTAAGATGCAGGTGCTTGAACCCCAGAAACAAAGAATCTTAATGAGCAGAGCTGGGGTACTACCTAGGATTTACTGTGCATGATACCACCACAAGTCTTAGGACTATACTTGAAGAAATATTACACGAATTCCATGAGATTTACAAAATAAGATGCAAAGTAACATACGGATTTCAAATCACAGCTTTAAAGACCTTGATATTGTTCCCCACTGCATCTCAAGTATTTATTTAATGTGCTCATGTAAATTGCAAGTCAGCAAAAGCCACTCACACGTGACTTTGACTGTCACGGTGGGTCCCTGGTGGACACTGAACCTGATTATTTCTTCTTGTCCCAAGACTTCCCAGCTGATGTGTTTCCAAGGCAACGAGAGGACCAAGAAGCACTGGAAACCATAAAGTTTGTAACTACTAATCTTTTTCGTAGCACATAAAAGTCTCACTTGTCTAGTGGATTTGCTATTTAACAATGTATTCATCTATTCATCCAATACTTTTGACCGAACACCCACCCTATGACTGCAGTCCCCACCCAGACTTCACAAATAAGTGGAAAATGACATTGGAAATTGTGGGACCAGGTGGGCAGTCCTAATGCCTTACACACCATTACTTATGATTACAATAAAACATACGAAAATGTTTTGAGTCATGCTGGAAAAATTTAATGTTTGTAACTATTTTAATGGGTTCTCAGATTAAAGAAAATTTACATAAGCATAGTAACAAAGCCATAACTGGAATCACAGTTAGTGAAAATAGAAAATGAACTTTGTAGATTAAGATTTACTCTGTCAGATAATTCAATTCCAATAAAAGTTCTGTATTTTGCATTTAGCTGCATGTGCTCCTTCAGGAGTTCGCTAGGGCAGGTAACAAAGGAAACCTGAAAATGGAAGCTCCCAAATTTTAATTAACCTTGATGAAAGAAACAGGCTGCTGCTGGGGCTGAACGGAAAGTATGACACGATCATCTCTAGATCAAAGAGGACACCCCGGATCCATCATTAGCTCTTGACAGAAGTGTGATGAACTATGATTTCAGATTCATTTTCTTATTTGTTGATCCTCCACTTTGGTCCCCAAGAGACTCAAAGCTGTTATTTGAAATTAAGGTTTGCTTTTCAGAGTTTTTGGGTGGCAGGAATGTTGGGGTTCCATCCCCGGATCCTCAGCTGACACTGAGTTCTGTCCGCAGGGTCACTTTATTTTCTGCAGAGCACTGCAAAGGATTCCAACTTCACCTACAAAGAAGGACAGTGTTCAGATGGGCAACTCCTCCGAGGACCAGGTCCCCCTCAGTGTTCCCCACAGCAAGTCCTAAGGGATCGGAAGGGTCCCTTAGGGTAAGGTACATGTCCCCCCGAACTTCCTGTAGTGTACAGCTCCGCTGTGGGGATGGGGCTGGGGCAGGCGTGGGACAAGGTGGGAAGAGCTCGGCCATTGCCCTGTGGATTGGGGTCCTCTCTCCACTGGCTGTTCTCAGGAAGGGTTAGGCGTCTCCCCAGGAAAATCACGAGCTGCTCTGTCTCCTTCTTAGGGGACAACCACAGACGAGCTCAGTCACTAACCCTAAAAGTGTGGTTATACAGCTCTTCCTCGGAGTCACCTGATACCTTGTTCCCAGCACAAATTCCCAAGATTTAGCACCATTTTGGTAAATTTATGCTGGGCCTGTAACTCAGGACTATTAAGTTTAGTCAGTTCTACATATGGTTCTGACACACACTGAATTCTGAGGAGGCCCAGTCTCAGCAGAGAACTCAGACCCCTGGACAGAAGGACCACATGATTGGTCCCATTTACACCGGGATCCCCCCGATACAGACTCTACGCAGATGTCTGGAAACCATGGAGACTGGCAACCCTCACTGTCCCCTCCATCTCAAAGACATGAAAGCACAGAGAGGTGACGAGGACTTACACAGAGTCACACAGCTCTAGGGACCCTTTGGTTCCTAAACACGTTACTCTGTGCTCTCAGCAATTTCCTTACAGACATAGCCAGAGGGGTCGTTCTTGCCTCTTCACGGGGAATGAGAAAAAGGGTAAAACAGCCCCCTCTCCATCCTACAGCCTCTGGAGGCCTGGCTGGCTTCTGCAGAGAATGCTTCACTCCAAATGGGTTTGAGGGAGACATCAGCTTGGGCTTTTTCTAACTGGAGTATCCCAGGTGGCTGCACCTAAGGTACAGTGACTACCATGCCCAGGGCTGGCCCTGTGTGTGAGGCAGCATGGGCAGTGTTAGAGGGAGACTTCAAGCCCCCCGCCCTGTTGGACTTTGCTGGATTACACGAGGCAGGGACTCCCACCTGGCCTGCCATTCCGCCCCTGCAGCATCCCCCCACCACACACACAGGCTCCTGGGCACGCAATGTGACTTTTAGGAACAGAGAGGGGATCTGACAGTGAACCTGGTGGACTCTCTGCTCCAGTGTACTCTGGGGGCCAGAGAAATCAACAACTGTGCAAGGACACTAACATAATAAGGACTGCTCTGCAGGCAGCATATGTCAAAAGATAAAGACACGGGAGACATCCAGCCCGGTCTTCTTAGAAGACGAGAATCTATGCGAGACTGAAGATGAGCTGGCTGGAGCCTCTGCAACAGAAGGAGAGAGAGCACTGTAGAGAAAGAATTGGACAGGTGAAGACCTGGAGACAGGAGGCAGCGAGGGAGCTGGAAGGCAGCCAGGTGGTGAGAGAACATGTGGAAGGCCAGAGGCGGGATCGGGGATGCACAAAGCACCCCGAGATTCTCGAAGAGCAGCAGGACAACACCCATCATCGAGGAGGAGAGAAAGGCCGGTAGCTGAGCTCCTGTGTCACCAATAAAGCAAACAGACCCAGGGCTGAGCCTGCAGGCAGAATGACATCCATGAGACCCCTGGAGGAGAGGACTGGATGGCAAGGGGAAGGGAGGCTGAGAGTGACCGCTGGGTCGCACAGGAGGAGAGGGAGGACGGAGTCTCAGAGGCTCAAAACTGCCCCAGGTGATTGGACCTTTTTACTGAATTCTTCTCCCTCAGCCGATCTGTGGTTTTGGTAGAGTTGCTTCCTCTTAATTCACTGTTTTGTTATTTCTACCGGCCCTAAGCTGAGGCCCAGGAGCAGCCTCTGTGGCCTGGAGAGAGCGCGGCCCTGCAGGTGTAAGCCACTCACTGTTGATGGAGTCCGCCAGGATCTTCAGCTGCTGGGCGTTGTCCAAGACCTCGATCCTCTGGGTGTAGGGGTTGTAATGAACTGAGAAGGGCCGGGGGATGGTGGCAGCGAAGTTCCTGCGGGCGAAACCACAAGTCTGAGTGTGGGGTGCCGGTGGGGGTCGCTCCCGGCATTCTTGGGCCATCGCCCTTCTGTGTGACCACTGAGAGCTCACTGGAACCGAGGCTGGCAGAGCCGGGCCGGGAGGGAGGCAGAGCCGTATCAGGGTCTCTGGGGAAGGTCTGTGTGTGCCTGTGTTGTATACACACACACAGACTTAGTCACATTGTGCCGAGAAGACAGGGCCGGCTTTCAACACAGACACAGAATACAGGAAAGCCACGAGCTCTTATTATTAAATAAGGTCAGCAGAGTAAAGCAAACCCAGCCAAAGAGTGCTCTAGAGAGAAAAACAGAATGCTGGGAAAACACTGGATATTTTGGATAAACATTGGATGTTAGATAGACATCGTAAAGAAGGAAATGCAGCTCTCAAGTGAATAAGACACCAGTTAACAAAGACAAGTAACTCGGGGTGGGGGGTACCCCCGCAGCTCAGGAGGCAGAGGCAGGAGAATAGCTAGTTTAAGGCCAGCTCAGGCTACTTGGTGAGATCTGTCACCAAAAGGGGGCGTAGCTTTGTATGAAGGCCAATCCGCAGCATCACTGCCCCTAAATAAAAGACCCAATAAACTAAAAATCTCAATCTTCTGTTTCCCAAGAACTATATGAAAACCCAGCTGCTCTAGACTCCTTTATAAATGTCATTCCTAATTTCACAAAAACCTGGAGGAGTGGGTACCACTACTACCCCCACTTTTCAGGTAGGGAGACTGAGGCTTGGGAAACTGATGCTGAGGCCATCAGGAAGCCACACACCTGGAAGGGATCCTGGCTGACATTCCCGGCTTTCTTGCCTGCCCAGGAATTATTCCTGGCTTCAGGAGGAGTCCTAGGTGAGCACCAGCGTTATAATTAACAAGAAATTCCAGACACATCACAAATAGTGCTTTTGAGTCAGCCCCTGGTGAAAGGGAGCTGCCATGCTGAAGAGTTGTTGGGCAGGCAGTGAAGCTGGCCAAGCAGTGTGGGCCCAGAAGTCCGCGTCAAGCTGCCTGAGCTCAAATCCTGCCTATGCCATGACCCTGGGCGCTGGGACCCTGGGCAACAGCTCCTCACCTGCACCTCCCTTCTGATTGCTCAGTAAAACCCAATGACGGTCGTGGCAAGCACCGTTAGAGTTCGGGCTGCCTGATTTACTCTGACACCATTGCTTCTCCTGGCTCTCGAGCCCCGGGCTGCACCTTCTGTGTGCAATGCAGCCGTGGCGTGCCCTGACCTGTGCCACCTGGGTGTGCACAGGTACAGGCTACATGGAATTCATGTAACGTCTGTACCCACACGGGTGCAGGACTGGCAGTGGTGTCCACACTGAGAGAGCCGGGGGCAGGGCTGTCTGCAGTTGGCGTGTCCAACCCCCCAGCAGAGGGTGGACCGGGTGGACTTGGAGAGGGCGAGGAACGGCTCCATCTGCTGCACTGCTGTGGACCTCGCGGTCCAGTGTCCAGTGCCCTGGCCACACACCCCCAGACATTATCAGCAAACTGAGCTGGGAGACCCGGGGAGCTAAGGGCCCCGGGGCGCTCCTCACCTCACTTTCTCCTGGGCATCACTGAAACTCTCAGCCACGTAGTAGACGGGCTGGAACTCGGTGACGGGGTACGGCTGCACTGCCGTCTTCTCCATCTCCAGGGGCAGGAGCTTCGGCTTGTCCGACAAGCAGTACTGCAGGCACCCAAGGATACGCCCTCGGTTACATCCAGACCGGACCGGAGGTCCCCAAGGCCGCCCGAGCTCACCCCAATGCCTTCCACACCCGACCCGAATGCAGTGAACTAGGCTGTGTACTCTGGATCCAACCCCACGCGGCTCATCTCAAACCTACACCCAGGATGGCAGGTGGTAAATCCATTCTAAGGGCTTTTAGGTAAATCCATGGGCACTGCAGGAGCAACCACCTGTCCTGGTGAAGGTTTGCATGCGTGCAAGGCTGCGTGCACCTGGGAGCAGGGCGCCCCTCCTCCCTGAAGGTCTACCCAGGTCATAGCAGCTAAGGTACCAGCAAGAAACTGAAAGGGTAAATGAAGTCTAAGATGTACACTAGACAGCATGAAGTGGGAAGGGGCTGTTCAGGAGAAAGGAGCTCGGGTGGGGGACAGGCGAGAGGACAGTGGGGGAAAGGGAGAAAATCAAGTCAGTCCCGCTGTTGGGCCTCCGAGTTCCTCAAACAGGAAGCGTTGTGCTCATATCAGCAGGAGAAACTTTTATTCCTGCATCAGCTGAACAGCTACCTTAAAGATGGCAGCATATAATGTACTAACTATTGTTGTTCTCCTAGTATTTTATTGTGAAATTTTGTTTTTTCTTTTTTTCCACAAAATAAAATAAAAAAAGGGTGACTCCCCAACCTGCATCTCAAAATGAATGCAATTGGGGTTTTAACTGTTGCAAGAGAGGGAGCATGGTCTCCCTCAGCCAGCACGTTCAAGTCTGCCTCATCCCAGGGAGACTCATACCTGTAATTCCCCGAAGGAGGACAGGAGCCCAGCGCCGTAGGCCTTGATGGAGTCTCCTTGTTTGCAGAGCCCAAACTCCACAGTAAACCAGTAGATCTAGGATGAAAGTCAGGCTGAGCACAGACTCTTAGGAGGGAAGGCAGCACACAGCCTAGCGCCAAGGACGGGACGCCCAGCGGGCCTGTTCTCTAAACCAGGGCAACCACTTCTCTGGTCCTGTCTCACCCTGTTCCATCTCCTGTGATGCTAAGAGTTGACTGAACCAAGGTACGATGGGAAGCTCTGGGAGGTATAAGAAGCTCCCCAAACACAGCCCAGCAAGTTCCCCTCTCTCCTCCATTCCTCTTCCTTTTACTCTGTGGCATAAACTAGACAGTACCTAAGTTAGGGCTTATCAGGAAACCCTACCGGGTACCGCTGTTGTAGAGGATTCAGTAGTGAAAGAATCACCAGGCCACGTCTCCTCCTCCACGCTAAAAATGGGGACGCTGCTCAAGTCATCCTCTGCATTTATCCCCAGAGAACCAAGCCACTTTCTTTCCATCATGTCCTAGATGCCTGGCCTGAGGAGTGGATACCCAGAGCCCAGGCTGAGAGGAGCCCAGGGCTCAGAGGGCTGCTGGTGACAGCAGAGTCTTGGAGGATTCGTGGTCGGTTTCCAGCTGGGTTGGTGAGCCAGACTAGAGGATGTGAAAGCCAGGAAAGAAATGAAAGCTCAGGAGCCCCGAGCCCTCACACACAGTAAGAAGTCGTCAGCCCGGGGAAGGCGACGAGTTTATTAAGGGCAGAGAAAGCAGTCAGTACTGCTCCCAGCCCAGGGCACCAATTGCTTGATTTTTTCTGAGACGTTAGGTTGACAATGGGACTGGCATCATTCTTATGGTAGATGACACCACACTCTGAGTTCCAGCTTCATTTCTGGATTCTGACTGAGAAATTTACCCAGCTGCTCCTTGGATCTTGGTAGCAGCTCATTTAAAAATTCATGCTCGCACAAACTCGATCTTTTGGATGCCCATGGCACCTCTTCAAGATGGGCAGGACACACACTGACGCGCCCAGGGGCTCAGAGCAGACATAAGTGAGAGAAATACTGCGTGTTTAAGTCCTTTCAGATGAGCTGAACTCAGCAGATCTTGTAAGCTGATACACCTTAATGTAGATTTACATCTACTTGCAATCCTTGATTCCAATATAAATTTTTATTTTTCCAATTTCCAGCCTGGGCACTTTATAAGAAGTGTAGCTCAGCCCCTGGGGAGGGATGTCTGAGACCACAAAGGAGCACCCAGGACGGAAACCACCTTCGAGGCAACTTAGCTGCTTCTGCAACTCGGTCCTTCTTTTCACCTGGGGCGGGGGGAGTTCAGTAAGAACGAAAAGCCCAGTGAACAGAAGGCTGGAGATTCCTGCCCAGCCCGGAATGGAAAGGTGCTAATGCTGGACCCAGGGCAGACGTAGAGCTGAAAGCATCCCCTCTTCAAAACTGTGAATCCAGACCTCAGCTTCATGCCCAAGGGGTCTCACAGGCTACTATTACAGCTTGCTGGTATTTCCCAGAGCACTGTTTAAAATTCTGCATAAACTTCTGCACGCAGCTGATTTAAAAACAAACTCACTGAAGATAAATCAAAATGGAAGATTTACTTATGTAAATTAACCTGGGCATTCTTTTTTTTTACTTTTTTTCGGTACCAGGGATCGAACTCACGACTGCCTGTTTGCAAGGCAGGCACTTATGCCGCTGAGCTAAATTTCCAGCCCCAACCTGGGGATTCTTATTTCCCCCTTAAATGTCCTAACTTCCAAAGAAAGAGCAGATCTTTAAAGAGCCCCCGTCCAGCCCCCCGGGAGTGAAGAGACTCACGGTGGCCAGCTTCTCGATGTACTCATCAGGGGCGCCCAGTGAAGCAAGGCCGATTTCCTGCGATCACAGAGAGCCAGAGTCACCAGCACAGCCCATCTTCAAACAGCACCCCACTACCACCCTGCACTTGACTCCCAGAAGTGGCCCCCAGCCAGATGCTTTCTGGAGCCCCGAGAGACACTGTGTGTCCTGTCAGGTCTTCCCCAGCCACGCACCCCAGAATCACAGATCCCTAGAACAAGACATCACTGCTGTCCTTTGTCACAGCTGACAGATGAGGAAACAGGCACCAAGAGGGGAGGTGACCTGCTCGTGGTCATGTGGCTGGTTGACTCCAGCCGAGTGATGGTTCTCCTGCAGCCCAAGCCATGCCCGGAGCACTGCTGAGCCTTAACCATTTGAAGGCAGCACAAGGGAGCTACAGATAAGCAACGGCTATCTCTTCAGGTATTTACATGGCTGGAGCCTGAAACACCGGGATCAGGAATGCCTTCCATCACCCCTGCGACGCAGGACTCCTCTCACGGCCGGGCTCTTCTGCAACACTTGCTTCAGCCTGCCTAGTGAATGTATGAGTGTGAGTGTGAGTGTGAGTGTGTGTGTCTTTCCAACTACATGCATTCACTCATTCTAAAAGTGTTTATTGAGTGCCTCCTATTTGCCAGGTAATGTACCAAATAGATAAAGATCCTCAACCTTGTGGGTTATAGTGCAGACAGATATGAATAAAAAGACTGCACAGATGTGTGAGGAAGCGCTACGTCCTCCAGAAAGGAGAAAGAGATGAGGGGGATTCGGAGTTCCAGGGACTCTGTGGAAAGTCTGCAGGTGCAAATGGGCACCCAGGTAAGCATCCCCGAGAAGGTGATGTTGGACCAGGACTTAAAGGAGGCTGTCGGTTCCACGGACACCTATTGTAATCCCAAGTAGAGTACAGTTATCCAAGTATCACAACGCTTGGTTTCTTTTTTTTTTTTTTTTTTTTTTTGTCTTTTTCCTATTTATCGGTACCGGGGATCGAACTCATGACTGCACAACGCTTTTCTAGTCCTCTTCACAATCCAAAAAGTTATATGTGTAATCCCATTGACACATTACTGGAATCCCAGCAAGTTAACTCCAGTCTACCCCCTCCAGCACAACCCACCTCGAGAGTAAAGACACCAAGACAGATTCCAGGTTAAGGGCCGCCAAGGGGTCCTGAGTCCATCCCCATGAGGACATGCGGACAAAGGCCCTCATCCAAGGCCTCTCTCAGAATTTATTATCTTGTGAAGAAGGGGGTGGCTCCACAGTGAGGATGGCGGGAATTACGGGTGTAACTTGAGCTGCCTGGCTGGGTGGGGAGGCAAGCAGCTCTGCAACATGAAGAGATAAGGATAGGCAGAAGGATCAATTTGCATAATTCAGTTAAGGTAGTAACAGAATTGTGTTTGGAGGCTGTTGCTTCGTTTCTGATATGTAAACTTTTGTGCCCTGGGAACTCATGGCCTCTTTACCTGAGGCTCCTACCCAGGTGACATTCCTGGAGCTGATGGCTCTACCATCCCGCTGTGCTCTTATCTTTTACAGAGAGCACCATGTGAGGAAACAGGAGACTGTCTGATGGCTTTAGAGACTGCATACCAGTACCTCGCTAGCCATATTTGCAATACTTACAGCCAATTAAAGGGGAAAAAATACCATAGTTGCTTCTGTACATATCAGTATAAAAAAATAAGTCTCCATATAATCAAAGTTGCTACAATTGTTCTACATTCAAGGGAAGTTACTCAAGTTGTCTCCCACAGACACCTGAGGGAAACGCACTGCAGCCCAGACCTGGAGCCATGCAAAAGCTCCCCGAGGAAAGAAATCAGGGCTCGAGGAACAGAGGGAGCGGTGTGGTTAGTAAAATGAAGGTGTGGTAGGTGTCACCAACGAGAGACCCAGAGCAGGGCCTGGGGGTATTTTTAGACTCTTTAGGGTCTGATGGTTTCCTTTCAGTGAAACAGGAAGACCTTCCAGGACTCTGATCAGAGAGATAAATGTGATCTGGCCCGTGTCATCCAAGACTCACTCTGCTGCTGCGTCTGAAGGGGCTGTCGGGGGCTTACAGACGCCAGTGGGCTGGTTATTGTGGTCAACAGGAGGAGAAACACTAGAGGCTGACATCAGGGTGGCAGCAGGTGCAACAGGAAACAGGTTCTACACGTACCCTGAAGGCAGAAGCACGAAATATCCTGACAGATTGGTTGTGGGAGAAGACAGAAAGGAAAAAATAATATCCTCGGCTTCTTCTGAATTCAGCAACTGGAGGATGGATAGCCATGGACTGATATGTAGGAGTCTTCTGGTGAGAGAAGGTTCGAGCAGGGGTTTCACAGTTTTCTTTTGGACAGGATGGTAGAGATGTCTAAGCAGCTCCCAGGAGGAGAATGTTGACCAGGTAGTTGGATGTGTAAGCCTGGATTTAAGTCTGAGCCCAAGACACATATTTGTTTATGATCATGGTACTGCAAGCCCTGACACTGAGTAAGATCCCAAAGGAGTCAAGCAGGACTAATTCCTGGGTGTACTTTGAAGCAAGAGGCTACACTTCCTGCACCTCTGGACCCTGGCCTGAACCAAGCCCAAGGTCTGACCCAGACTGAGCTCAGAAAGTGCTGTCTAAATTAGCGTGAACCAAATGCAGACACTGCCCTTATGCTAGCCGGGCTCTGGTCTCCTGCGCTCCCTGCTCTGTCTCCCTGACGACCACCTTCCCAGGTGTGCCACAGTCCTGAGACTGATAAAGTCCACCAATAAGTCCAAGATGGAGATGGTACCCCATTCTCTGTAATCCTGATATTTCTATCCCCACCCAATAATGTCCTGGGGTGGGAAGTAATCCTGCCACTGGATCAAAAAGAAATACTATCAAGGAAATTTCGGATGAACTCCTGCCTTAGGGCTGCCCAGATCAAAGCTGCAGGTTTGACATCCATCCTGAGTAACTGAGGCCAGCACGACAGCTGTCACCACACCGGCAGGGATGATTTTCCACAGATAAAGTTCCACGAATTCCTGGACACAACCACTTCTGAATGTAGCACCCCAAAATTCCCCAAATTGCACACAGAAATAGCAGCTTTGCTTAGACAGTTTGTGTCTCACAAATACATCTCTTCCTGATGCCGAGCAATGAATTCAATCTTTTGTTTGGTTCATTTGTGTCAAATTTGAAGTTACAACCTTTTCACGAAGCAGCAGGAATGTTTACCTCTTTCCATTGTTGGGAACTGCTTGCGGGGTCACGCATGACAGACAATGTCTGCTCTAGAATTCACACTGGGCCCCAAGTTTACTTATAATCATTCTGCTTGATCCCCATTCTTTCATGTGAGTACCCGGACTGGCAGAGAAGGGTTTGGCTGCAATACTTGGTGGAAACTTGAGTCACAGCGTAGCTTGGCAGCTTGCTGCAGGTCCTGTGCGTGCCCCAGCCATCTGTCAGCTTTCCCATGGCTCCAGCCACCCGGCCACGGCTTGAGGCTGCTTCTCAGAGCTAAAGAGAAGAGGTAGGACTTTTCCCCTCATCCCAAAGCAGTTTTTCAGCTTGGATGGTGGGGCTGAGAAATCTGGCTCTTTACTTTCTACTTACTTCTTTATTTTGTCAACTCTAAATAAGATCATTGGCTTTGGATTCATCTTATTTCAATCAAATGCCAGCTGTGATAAAAAACACTGTGAGTTTTTTAAGCTTGAACACTTATTCCAGTAAAAAGCACACTGCCAGGAAAACCTCCTGGAAACACTGGCCCTTGTTCTGCGCACACTGATCTCAGCCACTTTCAGAAACAGTTCTGGAGGTTCTCTTTCCTGAGTGTCTTCAGTTGAACGGCCGTGGCTGCCTTGTGGTCCAGAATTGATCCAAGACATTTCCCTTCCATGGTCCTTTTGACTTTGGGCAGGAGCCAGAAGTCACCTGTGCCATACGTGGTGCCCAAGGTGGATGAGGACGCACCGTGATGTATTTAAAATGTAACTCTGCCTTTCTGCTGGTTGACACTCAATTGCAGTGTTCACCGTATTTTCCATCACCCCTGGTAAAGAGCTCACGTATTCTTTGATCCATCCTTGTAGATACACTCATGATCGCCTGGCAGATCAGGAAGTAGCAAAGTCCCTGAGGAGATCTGGGGAGGGACATTCTGGGAGGTAAAATGACTTCTGTGTGGGGAACCAGAAAGACTGTCCTGGACGGAGATGCTCTCGATGGTGGGGTGATGGGATTAGCAGACTGGGCTGCATTCCCAGGAGGAGCAGCCCAAGCTGCAACCCTTGACTCCTGCCATGGACATGCAGCTTTCTCCAAAGAAACTCACATTGTTCTCAGATGGAATCGGAGCTGCACCTGAGCCCCACTTTTGCAGGGGGATTGAGGGCCCCTCTGTGGGCTGAGTTCCCTTGAGCAACCCAGCCCTATAACCAGGAGGCTAAGAGAACTCCCATCTCTTACCTGGGAAAACTGGGCAAAGCTGCGATCCGAAAACAAGGGCACATGGCCCAGCAGCTCGTGGCAGATGTCCCTGCAAGACAGAAAGCACAGAGCTGCGGAGGCCAGGGCACAGGAGAGAGACGCTGGGTGACGAGCAGCTGTCAGGCTCTCACTGAGCTGAGGGGCACAGCCATCTCCCACCCCAGGCCTTCTCCTTCATCTAGACAGGCCAGGGCACATGCATGCGCTTGGTCACTCTTGGTGGGATCTAAAAGGTACCATGCTTTGTTTCTTTTAGTCTGGACAGAGATCAACAGCCAGTAAAGAAAGGCCCGCTTCATTTAATGTGCTAAGCATCACAGCCATGAGGAGCAGGCAGGCAGCAGTGATCAGAGGGGAGAGAAAAATGACTTGGGGTTCCCTAGCGTTTTATATCAGAGTAAGGGAGCAGCTACACCCCAAAGCAGGAAGCAGTGACCAGCCACCACCTACCTCTAGCCAAGATGCATTCTAAGCGCAGCATGCCTGGAATCCCCTCCACGCACACCCAGGAGGGTTTGAGACAACCACTGTGTCGTTGTTGTTCCTATCTGGAACTATGAAGCTCTAACTTTGAACCCTGAATGGGACCTCTTATTCCCGATGCCTAGGGAGGCCTGAAACTTTGGATCATAAGATGCTCAAATCTGTGTCCACATCTGCCCTATCTGGACAGAGAAATTCCCAGAAGGAGGAGATTTCCTCTCCTGCCACTCTTATCCAGGAATCCAGCAGTCTCAGGAACCAGCCTGCGATGAACCCAAACCTTGTTCCCGAAGAGCAAGAGGTGACCCCAGCTCTTGCGTCGGCCAGAGGGAGGCCAGTACTCACGGCTCAGGCGTGTACATGGGCTTGGACCCGTGCCTGATGTACTGCGTGCAGTGGAAGACCCTGAAGGCCAGGCCGCCCAGGAAGTCTCGAGAGGACAGCAGGCCAGCCACGGGCCGCAGGCGGAAGCCGGTGCAGGCTGGGAAGCAAAGCAGACCAAAGCTCACAGCCCATCCTCAGGCCCACCGGGCAGGGCGGGACCCGAGACGGCCCAGGACCTGGGGCTTTGACGCCAGGCGGGTGTGTCCAGGATCCGCCCCACTGGCTTCTGAGTGGCTGATTCAGGTCAAGTCACATTTCTAAGCCTCTTTTTGCTTTGGAATAGACCACGCATCAGCAGAGCAGTGAGCATGGGCGGCAGAGCCCAGAGCCCTGCACCCTGGACACAGCTTGTCCCCGAGCTTCTGGCACGGTTTGTGATGGCTGAGTGCTTCTTCCATATTTGAGGGTGAATATTTAATGTGAAAATTTTAAACAGACGCATTGCCACTAATTCCCCTCGAAATACTCCTCTCATCCTGCTTTGCACATGCTGGTCCCATTGTGCTAGCTGATGTGGGGGCCTCTCCCGTGCACCCCGATTCCAGCCTCCCTCCTCTCCTGGTTTCTCTGGCACCTTGGCACAGAGCCCTGCAGCTCTGCACAGATGTGATGCGGAGCAACTTTTTCCTTTCTATAGAACTCTGGGCCGTCTCCCTGCCATTCCTCCTGGCACGCAGTATGTGTCCAGCGTGTGCCAGCTGATTGGCACCACTTGGTTACCACCGAGCTGATGACCTCTTGACAGTCAGACACCTACGAGGGGATATCAAAACCAAAAAGCCAAGAATGCAAAGAACACATTGCCAGCAACAATGGGATGCATGCATTCAACGTGAGGGTGCAGAATTTCAATGGAAAAGTGTCGGTTACTGTAACATTTAAAAAGCAACTAGGTGTTCACCGTGTTCTTGGTCACCCCATGTCCCCCGGAAGTGCCCTGCAGAGTCCATCCCCAGACAACGCCTCTCCCCCCTCCCCTGCACTCTGATGGCCACGGTGCTCACAGGCGATGGTGGAGAAGCTATAGGCCACTGTCACTCTGTGGCCTGTGGTGGGTGACAGTGGTCACCCCAGCTTTACAGCAGGAGAAGGTCAAAGGCTGGATCCCCGACATTCACAGACTCAGCTCAGAGCTCAGGGTCACCCTGCTGTGAGCCCATTTCCCACACAATCCCCACTGGACCCTGCTTGGGACCCTGCAGGGCACCTGAGTGGCCACTCCATGACTGTGGCCTGGCTCAGTGGAGCCGAGGAGCGGCAGAAACAAGCAGGCCAGCAGAGCACAGCGGGTTTGGCTCCTCCTGCTGGACCTGGACCCACGTGCAAGTCTGCAAACACGCAGACTCCCACGTCCCCTGCGCCACCCTGCTGGCCGTGCCCGCCCCGGGACTTACTCTGCAGGAACTGGGAGACCTCTTCCAGCTGCGGGATGTTGTCTTCGCGGAAGCCACAGTACTTCTCCAGAAGCGGGAAGATGTGATTGTGCTCGTGGCACGCGTGCGTCTTATACAAGGACTTCAGGGTCCTGAACACCGTCCCCCAGGTCTTCTTCTCTTCCTCCGTGTACTCCACGCGGGGGATGGGCTGCCCACTGCAACACAGCACAAACAGGTGCTCATGGGTTATGGGGAAGAGAAAGATTCCACTTCCGGATGCAGGAAATGCTGTCCTGGTCCCCCTTGTGCGAGATTAACTAGATGAAGTGAGGACACAGGCCCTCGGCTCACCGAGTGACCCAGGACTCACTCTCCCTTTGGGAAATCCCTTAGCCTTTCTGTTCTTCTTACTCCCCGAGCATCACCCAGGGTCGGGGACCCATCCGCCTCCCTCACGGCCCCGGCAATGGCCTCCAGGTGGAAAGTTGTAGCTATGCCATAAGTCATTCTTTGGAAAGGTCCCGGGCTGAGTTCTGAACAAAGAGAACCCATAAAACCCAAACCCAGCCTGGCCTCCGGGAACAGTGACCTCCCGGAGCCGCAGGCCTGGTGCTGGCTCGGAGGACACAGCGTCTGGAACAGAGTGTGACTGTTTATCTCCGGCCCTCCTGTCCTTCCAAAGTTAGGGTTCACCTAAGGCCAGGAGAGCAAAGCCACTGTTATTTTCCACAGAAGGGTGGGCAGGGATCCTGGGGAAAGGGTGACTTTTTACTTAAGAAAGCAAGCAGAATAATTCCCACCATGGCTACTGCTGGCAAATGATAACTGGGCACTGTTATTAAAACCAATTATCATCTAAAAAGAAAGGCATCTGTTAGTTCTGCAACCAATTTCAAGAAATGGTGCCATCCTGAGCACCAAGATGTCCCCCTGGGTGATATCTGTTGCTCCAGGACCCAACAACTCTTCCTGTTCTTCCAGTACAGGGTCGTCCTCCTCCTCCTCGCTCAGACTGTGAGGTGCAGACACAGGAAGCTCCATCTTTAGGGCCAGAAAGGATCATGTGACCAGACCTGACCAATCAGAGAGTCTCACTGTCCTGGCCACAGGAATTGGCTGAGAGATGGGCTCCTGTCCAGTCAAGCCAGGGAGACCCAGTTTCAGAACTCTGGCTGACCTCCTTGGAAAGACACAGAACTTCTAACTGAGTTGGGGTATCAGCCTGGAGGTACTGGGGGTCCATCCCCAAAACAGATGAAACCACTGCTTGGAAGGAAGGCCTGTGCAGAGGACTCTGGGTCAGAGAGAGGATGGGGCACAGAGTCCTGGGTCTGCCTGTGTCTACGGTCACCCACAGCCACAGACAACTCCGGAGATAAAGTCAGAATCTAATGGTGTCACCTGGCTATGTGATCTTGGAAAGCTACATAACCTCTGGTTGCCTCGTTTGAAAGTGATGAACTATTATTAAGCCTAAGCTAAACAATAAATGCATTTAGCATTTAGCAAAGCCCAGACACACAGCAAGGAGCTAATAAATGAGACCTGTTATTATTGACTTGCTGAAGACCAGCTCTTGGTGGGCAGAGGGGAGGACAAGGAGAGGTCATCTTTGAGGCCCGCCCTGTGCAGGAGTCTCCTTATTCCCTTACCTGGGGACACTGGTGTCCCCAAAGACTGCATTTCCTGAGGCAGGATGGATGCACTTCCTGAGAATTCCAAACAACTAAGCCATTCCCTTCCCAGACAACATATTTGATATTTCCACTTTCTTTCGGCCAAAATAGAGTAGAGGAGCAGTACAGGACACCAAAGAGAGAGAACCAATGCCCCCTCAAATTGCCCTTCACAGCTGCATCAGCCTGAAGGACTGCCAGCGGTTCACTGGAGAAGCCCGTTCACGGGAGAGCAGCCCGTTCCTTCTGCGATGTGAACAATTTTCTTTTGCCTTCTTCCCTGCTTAGTGCAAAGCCTGGTGGCTTCCTTTGGGGCTGCAGCCCTTTATGATTACTTCTATATAATTAGACAACAAAGCTCGGGAGAAAGCCGGGCCTCAGCACAGTGGGTAATTTTGTTTTGTCTAGCAGCTTTTTTAAAAATATGCGTGTTACTAAAAGGGTGGCTTGAACTCATCTCTATCCTCTTCTCCCCTCTCCCCCGCCACCAGAGGAAAGACAGGATGACCCTGGTGTCTCCCACCCGAGAGCAGGGCCACGCACTCTAAGGTGTCTCTCTAGGCCCTTTTCCCCAGGGGCGACTCACTGGCGGTAGTTATAGGCAATGTCAGCAAAGTGCTTCCGTCGTGCTCGGTACACGGGATCCTTGAAGCCCTAGGAGAGAGCAGAGCTCGGTCATCACTCAAGGCTTTGGAGGCAGCGGCCTGGCTCCTCTACCAGCGCCTTCCCTGCAGGCTTCTGGGTTATGATTCCGTGCATCTCCTCCTGATTAGGGAGGGAGACTCGGTTAACAAAAAGAAAACCTCCGTTCAGTGTCCAGTGAGTTCTGAAACACAGGCTGAGGAAGCACAGCAGCATATTTAAATAAGACACCCAGTTAAACGTTAGACGAACACCACTCCTGCCCAGTGTTGTGAGTGGCTGTCCTGAGCAACACCTTCCCTTTAGATTCCAAGGGTCCCCATCTGCCCATCTGCCCTGCTCTGAGAGATCACACGTGCAGCGTTTCCAGCCCCACACCGGCCTGAGAGCGGGTGGCACAGACATCTACCATGGAGATGCACGATACCCACTTCAACTCTGGCCAGCGGCTGCCTCCTCACTTCCCATGGACAAATGTGGGCACACAGCTGCGGCAATTCTTTTAAACCATCATTTACTGAGTACCTACTATGTGCTAGCTCATATGCACTGGGAAACTATTATATTTCTAATTAATTTATAAAAATATATAATTAAGTTCTTTATTTTGGTTTACGGTGCTCACACACCGTCCGATAAGATTAGTTCGTCCTAAACAGTGGCTCAGAGAAGTGCACGCGGAGCCGAGGAGAGGACGGGATTGGGATGGCCCAATTCTCCTGTCGTCCACTGCATGACAGTGACTGTCAACCTGTGTGTTCGTGACCTCGGGAGCAATCCACCTCCAGGCTTCTTTCAGACGCTGACCGGCAGGACGCTCTCCCCCAGCAGTACCATTAGGGGCCGTGTGACCGTATCTAAATGTTTGGGGCACGGTGGGCATATCTCAAGTCAGGAGTGATCATGGTTGATTAAAAGGGCATTTTCCAAAAATATTTACTGTCCTCTAAATTTTCCTGGCACGAGAGGCAGGTCCACTACCACAGAACTGGACTTGGTTCCCTCCCAGCAAACCAGTGCCTCGAGCCTGTAATTCTGTGGCCCCCATACCTCATACCAGTGACATTAATGAATCAACAGTTGATCTTACATCACGGGGCACAATGTATCAAGGAGTCTTTTAACGAGATAAATAATCCCCAGTTTTGAAATAGTGCTTTTATTTGGTTTGCCTGATGAGTTGACTGACTGGCCGATCTGTGCATTATCTCAAGACTAACCAGTGATTCCTAAGAACCAGAGGTCAGAGTGTTTAGACAGGGCTGTTTCGGCTTTTACACCCAGCAGGCAGAAACAGCACTGTGCACTTTTCAAAAGGAAAAAGAGGGAAGAAGGTCTTGCTTTGTTTCTTAGGATGAATTTGGAGAAATAAAAAATCCAAATGTTTGATACTAGAAAATTAAACAAAATTACGACACACTGTTGTGCTCCAAACTCAAATCCTAGTTACAGTAAGTGATTTTTTTTGGTTTAGAAAAATCTTCTGTGGCATGGTTGTTACACAGCATAATCTAGCTGCTTTCCTGGAGCTCTGACTGGTATTGAGCCTTCAATTAGAGGAAGCTGAGACCTTGAAAGGTCACTCCAGCTGCACCTCTGCTGGTCCAGGCACAATGGCTTGCCTTGAGCAGTGAAAAAACTGGGCTTCATAATTTGCTTTCAAGCAGTACTCACATGCCTTTTGAGGAACCAGTCTGCTGGGCAAAATAAACCAAAGTTGTTTGTTCACAGTCAGCACCCCAAACTATAAATTTAAGTATAGATCCAGCATCTGTGATCTTTAGGGTTTGGGTTGAGACCATATGCCCCCCCCCCAGGCAGGGCTTTTAAAAGTGATTGGATGACAGAGGTGCTGATTAGACTATGGATGAGATCAGAGCCAATGAGCAGCTGGGTGGTGGAACCTGATTGGCAGGAGGTCACGGGGGCGTGACCTGAGAGGGTATGTAATCCTCACTCCTCTCCTCTCTCTCTGCTTCCTGACTGGCCTGCACGCAATTCTGCGGCACCCAGACCCTCCCACCTTGCTGCTTCTGCCTCAAACCAGGCAACCATGCAACGACTTTCGAGACTTTTGAAACTAAGTCAAAATAAACCTCTTCCTTAAACTGTAGGAAATTAATTGCTGGGTACCGTGTATCAGTGAAGAGGAAAGTGATTTACCTGCCAATCTGAATGACTGATTTTTAAGTATAAAACTGGGGGGTTTGTACCCTGCAGGCTCTTGGGAGAAATCCTGTTTCTATGTTTGGATCTGGAAATGTGGACTGTGACGGCTGCTGGTTTATTCTGGAACGGGTCCTTCACGACAGAACCAGCACCTTGAGGTTTTCTGGTCCTACCCAGGCTGGCAAGCGGAGATCTGAGAGGCGGAAGCACGGAATCGGGAAATTCCCCCTGCCTCTAGCCTGGAGAGCCCGGGGTCCTTCTCATCCCCATTGAATCTAATGCTTTTATGGGCCTTGTCTAGGTGGTTTGAGGTTCCCCACCTGTGAAAATAAAAGCCAGATACAAATTCCAAGCCTTACATCAGCTAGAGCAGAGGAAACATACAAACATACAAAGGAAGGATGGGAGAAACACACCAAACTCTGACGGATGCCGCCTGTGGGTGGAGGGAAGAATGGGCGCATCCGTTGCTTTATTCTTCTGTACTGTTTATGCTTTTGAGATTTGCTGTTGTGACTGTGGATTTCTTTACTAATTGGGAAGAAGACCAAATATTATTCAAATCCAGCTCGATCATTTTAGGGAAAAGGTACAAAGGAAACACAACACACGCATATAACATGCTGTGGATGGTTCCACAAAGGAGAGTTCCTAACTGCAGTCTTTTCCAGCTCTTTGTTTCTAGAAAGTTCACTGTGAGCTGCCAGGTCCCCCCACCAACAAACCTCAGGTCCTCAGGACCGTTGCCCTGTCCATCCCCAGGGCATGGAGAGTGCACTGGCCTTGAAGCCCGGCCTCTTGAGGATTTGTCCTTGCACCTTTGCGGTTGCCAGGTGTCCAGAGGGTCTCCCGGCCACCCACACAGCACGCTTTCCAGACGAGGCTGCAGCAGGGAACGACTGCTCGCCCAGCTCCATTTAGACTAATAGCCGCAATTTCAGTGACACTGCGTGTGATTCATTTATAATCACCCATCTCAATTAAGCTAATGGCAGCAATTTTAGCTGCACTGCGTGTGACCAGGGGTGTTTTGACAAGGAAATACATTGCTGCTGATGGAGTGGAGAGGGAAGGGGCCGAGGAGGAGGAGAGAGGAAGGGAGAGCAGAGAGGATTCTTCAAGAGGCAAGATGGTGAGAGCTGAGCCCACCTGGGACCTCCGTCCTTAACAGTAGTTTTGTTTCTGAGAGCGGAAGGGAGCTCTTGGGGCTCTAATATAACAGCATACGGTCTACACAGAGGTCCCCCGAGGAGGCTTCTAGACTAGGACACTTCATTGCTTGATGTCTGAGCTGAGGCTAAACCTCAGAAACAGCATCCCCGGCGACTTAGGAGGAGCACGCATGCTTTAAAGGGACACCTGTGTGGGAACGGGTGGGGACAAGCACGGGGGACCCCGCTCCGGTCTATGGTGAGACCAGCGTTCCCCAAAATGAGTAAGCATCCTCGATCCGTCCATGGGCCTCCGCCAGCGCCTGCGCATTCTCACCTCGCCTCTCTCTCATCTGGGTCAGCGCCGGCAGGCTCTCTGCCTTCCACAAGTCCTGTGCCAACGGGAGAAGACGGTACCAGCAGGCAAGAGGCTCAGGCTGGCATCTGCAAGGTGCCCACCTCTCCAGCCTGCAGGCCCTGGCCAGGGAAGCTGGGAAGCGGCCAGCGAGGAGTGGAGAGGCTTGTTCCCTCTGTCCCTCGTCACCCTGTCACCAGCCTGCACACTCAGAACACCCAGAAGCCTGCTGGGGCGGGAACACATGGAGAGCCGTCGTGTTCTCCCCCACTCCCTCTCCTCCTTCAGGGAGGGGGATCCGTTTCAGCCCATCCTACCTTGCAAACAGCTGTGTGCCCTTCCTCCCTTCGGCCTCTGCCGCCTCCCACCGGACTCCTGCATCTGCTCCTGTGACTTTCCTTCAGCCCTTAAAGTGACTGTTCCATGTGCTTGGTTACCACCCGCTGCACCCACAGGAGACTCGTAAAAGGCCAAGCCCGTGAGGACACCAGCCTCGTTAAATACCCTCGACGGCCTCTCCCTACTCTGAGAAGGGAGTCTGGCACCCTCAGCACTGTCCTGGGTTTTGCACGACCCCACTGTGTCTTTGCCCCAGCCCTGTGCCAAGCCACTGCACCTCCTGGTGCTGATGCCCCTGCCGTGCCCTGTCACCCTCTAAACACGCACCGTGCTTTCCCGCACCGAGGCTTCCCTCCCCCTCTCGCTCCCGTCGGAGCAGCCACCACCTGCTCCTTGCTGCTGGATGCCAACAGCTCTTAAGAGTCCCCGAGATTCCCCCGCATCTGCTGCTTCCCCTCCAGTACGCCTGCTTCTCCCTTTAGTCAGCAAGCAGTAAACACAGAACCCGGTCACGGATTTCCAGCGTGGCCCATTCTCAGCCTCCCCTTGCGTGGGAACTGTTAAGAAAAACTACACAAAACTCAGAAGAACGGGTGAAACGCAATGGCCCTGGTCCCTTTCAAGGTCAGATTAGGTCTCTGGCTTGGCAGCTCACCGAATGCCCTAGGGAAACGCACAGTTCCTGCTCATTAATCAGGGCTCCTCAACATAGGTGTTGACCTTTAGGGCCTAGCTAAGTCACAAAATGTTCATTTTAGGGTCAAGATGCACCAAATCTCTGTGCGGTAGAAAAGGTCATGGCCCCGTGATCATGATCATGGCCCCACTGCCTGATGGGACATTAGTTCCTCTCTTGTGTGTCCGTTCTTGCCCTCTCATCCAGCCTTCTGCTTTTTTGGTGGTGCCCGACACTTTGGTACCTCGCAGGGCTCTCCCTAGTGTCTCTGCCTGGCTGCCAGCTCCCCCAGGCATGACTCCAGTGGCTCTTTGGCATTCACTGCAGAACTCGTACTGGTCCTGACTGGTTGAAGCAGCCTGGCTTAACCCAGAGCTTCAGGGGGCAGCTCTGCTCCTGGGGAATTTGCATGTGAGCAAACTCAATACCCACACTTTGAAGGGTTAAAAAGTAGTTTAAGAGACTTGGACCAAGAGGTGGAGATACACGCAGAAGGGCTGTAAGGATGGGTGCATCCCCGATGAAGAGGCCCTTGGCATACAGACCTCCACCCTACAAACAAGCACAGGCAGCAGGCGAGCTGGAGTGGGGGGCCTGGGTCTAGCGTCTAAGACAGAAGTGGCTACTCTATCCTGCCTTATCTGCTCAAAGTGCATTGCAAAAATATTTCTCCCAGTGACCACGTGGCTGCAGTCCACTTGGTGGACTCTGAGTGGCAGGAGGTGAGAGGCAAGTCACCCTCTGGAGAGGACTCCCAGGAGTGGGAGGAGGAAGAGCTCTGGGGAGTGGGGTGCTTACAGGGACCCCGTGGCTAGATAACCACCACAGAGTTAGGCCGTGGGCATCTGTCGGACAAGCGATTGGCCAGCTGTGGCTGTGAAAGGGTGCACCACGATGGATTCCCTCTTCCAGAAGTCCTCACTGACCAGCCCAGGCCACAGTGACCACGGCACTGACAGCACAGGCTGACTCCTTAACCTGGAGTCATGTAGGTACATTTCGGACTTTCTATTCAAATTATCACCTGCACTGTGCTCTGGGGAACACCAGCGCTGAAGAGGAAGTGGCTAAGTATTCCACGGAAAGGGGGCTCTGGGAGTGAATGAGTATGGGGGAACCCCAAGTAGAATGGGTTTTAGTTTATCAGGACGCCCAAAGCCTCTGATGGATGATGGGATTTGCACGGGCTCAACATGGGCTGCAGGGCAGGGGCTCCTCTCCGGGACAGGACAGACACAGGCTCTAGATTGTTCACTTGTGTGTGCGATTTGTGCCTCCCGGAGGTGACAGACACAGGAGGTGAGCTCATTTCGGTCCAGGGCTCTGCACCACGTTGGAGGGCCCAAGATCATGATCACCCCGATCGAGGCAGAGGCTGGAGGAGGGAAAGCTGCAGACCAGTGGGACCCCTGGCCTGGGCCTCAGGAAATGGACCGAGGTTGACATCAGGCCACGAACAAGTGAGGCCCAGAGGAAAAGCACCTCTGGGGAAGGGCACGAGCCGGTCTCCTGGGAAATGGGAACTGAACTACTGCTTGGATTCAGCCTGCAAGCTCTGGGCTGCAACGCTGTCTCCTTTAGGTGGCCGGGACCAGGTCCCTCCCCAGCTGGGCCTCCTCATCCTCCAAGAGGGCACTTCACACTTACACTACAGAGCACACACCGAGCACGGAGCACAGCACCTGGCATGCTGCCCACGCTCAGGGACCCTCAGCTGTTAACACCACCTGTGCAGGAGAAAGGAAGCCAGGGAGACCTTGGCCAAGCGGCCAGGCAGGGGAGTCAGGGTGCAGAATCACAAGCCCAGGTCACTCTCCCGTCAGCAAAAGCCCTGAGGCGATGCCCTCGATGCCCTCCACCTGCCCTTCCTTCCCCTCGTCTCCCTGGGCAGCTGCTCTGGAGGCCTGGATGTGAGATGCAGCCCGAACATTGTGCACCCTGCCAAGGACGGGGGTCAGGGGGGAAGGAGCGTGCTGTCCCGGGTGACAAAGCAAAACACAGGGTCCTGCTGGGAGGAACAGCCCCTGCGTCCGTCCTGTCCGTCCTGTCCTGGATCTGTCACACTTGAGGCCAGGTGTCGGGAGGGGAGGCCGCCGCTGGAGGCTGCGTCTTGTGCTTGGCAGCGGCTGGATCCCAGGAGGAGCCCGGGACACGGCGAGCCTGGCGCAGTGCTCAGGCGGCCGTGTACCTGATAAGTTGTGTTTTTACGATAAAGTTCACGACATAGCCAGGTTGGAGAGCCAAAGACGAGCCTGGGCTGGGAGAGAGAAACCAGTTCCAGAGGCCCCGAGGCCCAGCCTGTGCGCCCCTGCCGGGAAGTGGGTGTCCAGGCCCCAAAAGAGCAGGGAGCCAGGCCAGCAGCAGGGAAGAAGGCTGGGGACATGGGGACGGGACGGGTGAGCAGAGGGGGAGCATGGAAGGAAAGGCCTGAAGGCTGGGGGACAGCTTTCCCTCCTCCCCCAGGGAGGAGACACCCCCAGCACTTCGCCTGGGGTGCTCAGAAGTTGGCGTGGAGTGATGGCTTGAGAATCACAGTCTCCCATTTTGGTTTGGGGGAGACAGGAGTTACATGGTATCAATCAGGAGCCTTGAACACAGCATCTGTCCTGCATTAGGGTAATTTAGCTTAACTTTACAGCTAAGCCTGCAGAAGGCCACTCAGAGTCATGTGCAGAAGCATGGGCAGAAGCCTGCAGCCCAACATTGTCCTAAGGGTGGGGACCAGAAGCCACCTCTGAGCTTACTGTCAGGGGCTACTGAGTAGGTGATGGCACCCTGGGAGGCTGAGGCAGGAGGCTTCCAAATTCAAACCCAATGTGGGCAACTTAGGGATTTAGAGATCTCCTGCTTCCAAATTTACAAACAAAGCTGAAAAGGGCTGGAACGCAGCTCGGTGTGCAGGCCCGGGGTTCACTTCCCAATACAGGGGGGGGGGGGTCCCCAAACATAATTATTTTAGTAGAGTGTGATAAGAGGTGCTTTTTTTTTTTCTGTTTGAAAGTCTAGGGGACAGGAGGAAATTCACCTCATTTGTTAGTAAAATACTTATTATTAAACAAACTGCGGAATAAGACGCCTCCTTCTGGGGCCCTTGTGTATTTCCAAGGCCACCGCATGGGGCTGCTATCTGAACCAGGAGGAGCAGACTTGCTATTCACCTGTAAAAGGCCACCCTGGCCCAGGGAGTCCCCGCTGCTTTGGAGCTGCTGGAGCTTAGATTTCTGTCACCACCCAGGCCTTGGTCCTGGGGCGCCCTGGGCCCAGGGTGATGAGTCCCAGGAGAGCAGAGGGGAGGAGTCCTGGAAGCTGGAGCTCTCCGTGGGTACCCCAGGGCAGGCCTCTGTCTGTCTGTCCTCCCTGGGCCTCCATAATCTGCATCTGTGCTGAGACACAGCTACCAAATGCTTCTGCTTCCCGGAAGGAGCGAGCTCCTTGTCACCATGGGGACCCCGAGGGGGAGGGATGTGACAGACTCCTGGGGGAGGGCAGGGGTCTCCCCGTCTCAGCAGGGACTGAGAAGCCCTCAACACTGTTCTCTGCTCTGGGCCCACAAGAGACTCATCCCCGGCCTCAGGGCGCATCAGGGTCCTCAATGGGAAGGAGACCTGTGCAATCTGAGCCACCCCAGACTGCCCCTGCTCCTGGGCCCCAGAGCCCCCACTGGCCACCCCCAGATGCCAGGGGCTGTGTGGAGCACTGTGACCAGCTCCCAATGCCAGGTCACTGCTCTGCCCACTGTGAGCCCTTCTGGGGACAGAGGCAGAAACAGAAGGAACTAGTGTGTGCGCGTGTGCATATGTGTGTGTGCCACGTGTTAGACACAGATGCTGAGGCTGAAGGGCAGGGATTCGCATTTGCTCCAACACTAATGACCTTGATGGCAAAGTCCTGCTAATCTTTGCCAGTACCTAACTGGCAGCCCCATTGCAGCCAGCTGACAAGGACAGGAGAGGCGGAGTCAGGCGAGGGGACGCAGCCCCGTCCCACCCAGGCCCGCACTCACCGGGTGGTCCGCATCCAGCTCCGCCCCATAGCTGAGAATCTGGTTGGCGAATCTGTCCAGCTCCTGGATGGTCCTTGGGAACCAGGGCACTGCAAGGAGAAGGGCAGGATCCTGGGCTGGGCTCAGCCCTCAGGCAGGCCCGAGGTGGGGCTCCCCAGAACCCCCAGTCACTGTGGGTGCAAGGCTGAGTGGCTCTCCTGGGAAGCAAACCTGCGCTCCACCCAAACCCATCCCCCCTGCCCGCATAGATCCCTCCTCCAGCCCACACAGGGATCTTCTTTGAAGAATATTTCACATGGCCATAGAGCATCACTTAGAGCTGATCCCTCATGGACCCCCGCAGACTCCTGAGATCCCCATCTCCCACCACGACTCCCACAGAAGGCCCCAGGCCCCCAGCCTCCCCACCCAAGGCCTCTGATCCCCATGGCATGCAGAGAGTCCAGCTGAAGCCGAGGCAGGTGGACAGGACTGGAGATGCCTGGGCTACCACTCTTCCGGCCCTGCTCCCGAGGGGGCAAGGGCAGAAGGTGGGGAGCTGAGCTGGGCCTTCAGCCTCTGTGGTGTGGGGTTCTGCAAGGACCCCAGGAGGGACGGGAGGGACGGGGTGCACAGGAGGGAGAGGCTGTCTTCAGCACGCAGGACAGGGGCAGTGTAGGTCTCAGTAGTGTTGGAACCATGCGCTGTTTGTTGTGGCAGGGAAAGGGAAGGACAGAAGGACAGAAGGAGGAAGAAAAGGAGGAGGAAAAAGAGGGAGGAGGGAAGGGGGAGGGAAGGGGGAGGGAAGGGGGAGGGGAGGGGGGAGGGAAGGGGGAGGGAAGTGGGGAAGATGGCTCTCCCCCACAGTGAGGCCGTAGAGGATGCATTGAGAGCCCAGAAGGCAGAGCAGGCCGACTGGGGCCTGGCGCCCATCCCGGGCCTCCCCTCCACCCCATGTGCTCCCCGGCCTCAGGTCTCCCTTGTTCTGAGCCTTGCTGTGCTCTGGGCCCTGCATGAATGTGCAGGAGGCCTGGGCTGCGGGCCCAGGAAAGAGCGTGCCTGCCCCCTCGTGGTCAGGCTGGGAAACGTCGCCTGTGACCCAAGTGGGAGCCTGGACTGGTCCTGCTGGTTCTTGGAGCTAAGGGACAGAGCGCTGGTCTCCAGGGTGCTCTGAAGTCCATTTACAGCCTCGTTCCATAGATCCGACCTGATCAAGGCCTCTGCTGCCCGTGTCAAAACCAGGAACCAACACTGAATGCTGCTCTAGACTTGTCTGGGGGTGTGAACCCTGGATAGCCCCATATTACAGGTGAGGAAACCGAGGTACAGGGTTAAGTAGCTGATAAGGAAAAAGTCCTGAGATTCCTCGGTTTATGTACAAAGGGGCAGAAGGAGAGAAGGGAGGAGCACAGGAGGAGGTTAATCAGGAGCAAGCCATGTATGCTGAAAAATTGTTTCAGATTTGGGGATCTGTGCCAAAACTTAAGTCAAATCTGTTCTGAGCTGGGCAGGGTGGTGCACATGTGTGATGCCTGCCCCGTGGGAGGCTGAGGCAGGACAGTTGCAAGTTCAAGCCCACTTGTGGGGACCTGGCCAGGACAGCACGGCTGTCTCCATCACCCCTCGTTTCCCGGGTGCCCAGGCCCGGAGCTCGGGTTAACATAGCAAAGCACACACCCCATGGGTCAGCTGGGGAGCCGGGGTTCAAATACGAGCTCGACTGACTGTGTGGTCTCTGGTCTGGACCCAAATGCATCCTGCCACTTTTGAGGAGGTGGCAGAGCCATCTGGTTAGGAGGTGTCGCAGTAAGAATCACAGCTCGCTCCTCTGTAGCTCCAGCCCTGAGCCAGGCCCTGTCCACAGCGCTGTCCTGTGTGTCCCCCGCTGTCCTCAGAAGGGAGGGGGAAGCAGGAGCATTGATGTCCCCGTCCTCCAACTGAGACTCTGCCTGCGTCTCCAGGACATGGCCCCACGCCTGCCCATGTGGCCAGGAAAGTAGCTTCTCTCTCTCTCTCTGTCTCCCTTTGTCTCTGTCTCTGTCTCTATCTCTCTTTCTTTGCTGAAGTGTGTGCCAGATCCCTCCTTCCACACTGAGCTGCCGTCTGCCCCGCACAGTGAGCGCTTGGGAGATGGGTCTGAAGTGCTTGGGAAAGCTCGGCTGCTCTAGGGCCCCCACGCCACAGAGATCTCTCTGGTCTCCCAAGAGCACTCCCTGGAAGGGCACCCCAGACACGGCTACCCCTCTCCGCAGGACACCTCACTGGTGAACCCCAAGACCCCATTTTCACCGCATCCTGCACCCCCTCAGCTTCACGGCAATGTGACCTGGGGATCCTGAGCTCACAAGGGGACCCCCAAGCAGGTATCCAGACCGGGAGCTGGAGGGCGACAGGAAGGGGGCAGTAATAGCTCTAAATCCTTGGCAATGTTGGAAAGCCCGGAGAAGCCACTGGGCCAGGGAGGTGACGGTGGTGGAGATGCTGTTTCAGTTTATGTAGTCTTTTCTCTTGTGTATAATTAAGAAGCTGAGAAGTGTGTACACTGAGGCTGCAGGTACACTGAGGATGTGTGTACACTGAACGTGTGCAGTGTGATGGGCTGCCGGACGTGTGGAAAGGTCCCCACAGCTGAATTCACAAACTACCATTCACATAGGGCAGTTTTCCTCTGGCATGTGTGTGTGTGTGTGTGTGTGTGTGTGTGTGTGTGTGTGCGCACACGCGGGCGTGCAGGCGTGTGTGGAGGGCACTGAGGAGCCACATCAACAATTCCAAGGACACAACACACAGATGTGTGAGACCCCAGGAAGTCCCTCCTCCTGCACCTTGATTGACACCTTCCGTTTCTCCTCCTCCCAGCGCCTGGCAGCCCCCACTCTATTCTCTGCCTCTATGAATCTGACTTTCAAACTCCAGATGTAAGCGAGGTCATGAGCGTTTGTCCTTCTGTATCTGACCCACTCCACTTGGTAAAGTGCCTCCAGGCCTCACCTCATTGCTATCCCCCGGAGGATTTGCTTCCTCTTGATGAGTGAGTAACAAAACAGCCCGGTATATACCACGCCGTCGATTCACCCGTCAGTACAGAGCCTGAAGCTTTATATCCTGGCCACCGACAGTAACACTGCAAAGCTGTGGGAAGCCAGGTGTCTCCTGAAATGTGGACTTCGCTTCCTTCTGTTGAAGCAGACAGCTGGACTACAGGGCAGTTCCTCCTTCTTTCCTTTCTATTTTTTTTTTTTTTTTTTTTTTTTTTTTGTACCGGGGATCGAACTCAGGACCCTGCACTTGCCAGGCAGGCGCTCAGGCCGCTGAGCCTCATCCCCGGCCCTACCTGGTAGCTCTGTAAGAGGAAGCTGCTCCCCATAATGGTACCAACTTCCGTCCTTGGCAGGGCCCCAAGGCTTCCCTTCCCTCCATGCTCTCCGGTTCTCTCTTACCTTTCCCAGACGGGTCCAGGGATGCTCTTTTCAGTGATCCCCTGGGTCTCTACACTCGACCCCAGTAGCCGTGGCTCAGGGTGCTCTGGAGCAGTCAGGCTGTGTCCCTATCCAGGGCTGGTTTTCCCCTCATCTCAACGGAAGCTAGGCAAGGTTGGAGAACCCGGCTGCAGAGCCAGATGGGCTGGGCGTCAGCCCCGCCTCTGCCCTTCCTGTCCACGGCAGGAAGCCTAGTTACTGGGGTGAGGCTCTATCTGTGAAATGGTGCTCAGGGTGTCATGGAGTACCAAACTGGAAGGCCTACAAGAGTCCAGTGAGTCAATAGCTGTGATTTGCTGAGGCGGTCTGGGCACACAACACCTTCACTGTGCAGCCCTAAGCTTAGGAGGGACCGTGCCTCTGCATCCCGGGATCCACCGCGCGCCTCCTCGGGTCACCCTTTCCTATGGCCAGGTGAGCTCAGGGCTGCAGCCCAGGACCCACCTTAGCAAGGCTTCAGGGGTTTCTTTGCTAAAAGCTGTGGAGTCCTACAAAGTCCTACAAAGCTGGCCAGGACGCTCCCAGTGTCACCCATGCATCCAGCCAGCTTACTGCCTGGCTTCCGGCTGCCCCCGCTCCGGGCAGCACCCCATCATTTCCCTTTCTCCTCTCGCCGAAGAAGCCTGACTTGTTCATTGGCGTGGGGTCCCCAGGATGGAACCCAAGGCCTCACTAAGTCTCTAAACTGCCCACGTTGGACTTGAACTTGCTGGGCCCCCAGCGGCCTCCCAGACCCCAGACTCTGCCACCCAGCGTGCTGGGATTGTGGGGGCGCCCCTGAGCCGCCTTTACTGGCCCACAGTCTTGCTGAAGCCCATTTGCCCCGCTGGGCTGAGCTGGACACGTGGCCACCTCCCAGTTGAACAGCAGAGGGCGCCAGAGGCCTTGGGCCACAGGGCTTTGTTCCATTCTCAGGGGAACAAAATGACAAAACAGGAGAATCCGAAGGGGACTGGGAGGACTCCAAGTCCCAAGGCGAAGGGAGAGGTCAGGCAGCCCTGCAGGGCGTGGTGTCCAGAGTCCAGGGCCTCCAGCGGCTCCCTGGCCCCTCCCCGTCCAGGGAAGGCCGCACACCGGCCACAGCTAGAGGAAAGGGGACTCTGGGAGATACTGATGCTGGGGCCCAGCTGACTGCGACTTCCAGACCCCGGGACCTTGTGCACCTCAGCCCCCGCTCCCTGCTTTCTTTCCCCTGTGCAGAATGACCACGATCCGTGGCTCTGGGAGAGGTCAGCACAGACTGCAGGGAGCTCAGGCCCAGCAGCGCTGAGAACCGCGTTTAGCACCGGGCAGGGGGCTCTGTGCTTTCTTGGTGGCATTGCAGTTCCCGTGACTGTCCTGTCACTGCCCAAGTCCTCAGGCGGCCCTCAAGGTGGAGGCCATTGGGGCTGCCCATGCAACATTTGGGACAGAAAGGGGAACCCGGGGAGATGACCAAAGGCCCAGCTGCTGTCACCTTGGTGTGACGGGGTTTGAGGACAGGGGACCCGGGCCCCGGAGGTCACAGTGCCATTCTGAATTCCCCAGGGGCCCTCTTCCTGGCCATGTGGAGGACAAGCAGGCTGAGGACACCAGGACCCTTTCCTAACATTCTGTATTTTTGAAAGCTTGCGCTATACCAGATATGACAT